ATTGGCTGCTAATGCGGACCTGTTCATATACCCCCCCGCTGTCGTTTAGTCGCCCTCTCTCCCCTGCTGAAGCAAGTGCTGGCCGGCGTGCAGCTCCGCCGAGCCGTGGTTTCCCGGCGTAGTATGTGTCGTGTGTTCGTTCTCCAGGTATGTGTAGCACAGTCTTATGATGCTGTGAAGATGTTATAAAGTGCCATGTTGACAGTTCTCTGTTGGCGTGTTGAGCCGAGGTGTGTGTGTGTCCCCTTCCGGTTAGCCGCCGCTGCCGCCTTTAGCTTCCAACAGCTAGATTATTGATTTGTGCAGGCTACAGCTGACCACGCAGGTAAACAGTGCCACAAGCCCAATGTTATTTTGTCTGCTAGTGCTTATGTAGCTTATGTATTGGTTACTAACGCTCACTCTGTGTCTCTTTTAAAGTTTGCCTGGCGTTAGGCTGCTGTTTTGCCCTGCCTTGCCTCTTACCTCCATAGTTTGTTTTCTTTTTGTTTTGCCTGGCTCACTTAGACAGCCGCTCTGCCGCTCTGCCTTCGTCGTTTAGACGCCCTTATTTTTAAAGTAGTGTATTGTAGTTCAAGACTGACCTCAGACCGTGACTCCTTAGTGGGGGGTGGGAAGTTAACACAGCATTGAGGACCTGCTAAATTTATGCATGTAGCATGTTTATTTTTGTTTTTCTTTCATTTTGATTTGAGTTTGCAGTTGTTTTGTAATATAGATATTTTGTCTTGGTTTCTTTTCTTTGTTTTTGTTTATTTGCGCAGTTGACCTCAAAAACAGCTAAAGTTGTTGACTCTCTTTCTAACTTAACTTTTGAGTCACTGGTACAGATTAATATTGTACCCTTTGGAAATAAAAAGAACTATATAACTGTTTTGTTTTTTTTTAAAAGAAATAACTTAATAAAGAAATTATTTTATTGTGAGTAATAAAACTTGTTAAACTTCTTACATCGTGCCTGTATTCATTTGTGTAACTTACCTGTGTATGGGTGATTTTTGGGAAACCCTCTGAGAAATTAAAGTGAAAAGTAGATTCTTCAGGTGCAAGTCCTAAGGTGGCGTTGTTGGTGCTAATTCTCCAGATCTGCCTCTTGCAGTTCAACTGGTATTGCCACACCAGTTAAGAGCAATCTTAAGTCTTACGAGCACAGTTAAGAACGTCTTTGATAAGAAGGGTCGTTAAGATACGAGTGTTTCATAGATGCGTTCTTAATGTCCTTCTTAGGGTTGCTCTTAAGATCGCTCTTTAAGAAGCTCTTAACAGGAGCTGGGCACTACCGCGGTGCTGAAACTAAATCAATCGATGTCAGGCAAATCGATCACCCACCACTTCATCAGTGCATAAGTCACACACAGCACTGCTACCTAACGCGCTAATTCCCTGCTGCTCATGTGTATGTGTGTTCTAATAATTCTAATGAAAAACTAAGACGATAAATATTTGTTAATGACCTATCTTCATGATGAAAGGACCACGGCAGCAGCACAACCACACACATCACACTATCCAGGCACCGCTGCAATATGAGAGGATGACAGAAGTATTGAAAACAGTTATTTTGAGGACACATATATTTGTATTTGGGATCATCACAGAGATAGAAACACAGAGGTCACATATTCTGATAGCTGTACAGCCATCAGAATATGTGACCTCACTGTATCTGCATAATAATGAGTTTAAACCTCAAAATAACTGTTTTCCATCCTTCTGTCATCCTCTCACATTAATGTGGACACATATATTTGTATTTGAGATCATCAAAGAGATAGAAACACAGAAGCCACCTGTCCTGATCCATCAGAATATGTGACTTCACTGTCGGCCAATCACAGGTCTCCTGTAGCTGTCAGTTAAGTAGTAGTCAATTAAGAAGTAGCCAAAGTAGTTTTCTGGACCCTCTTTTGCTGCGACCGTTTTCTTGGTAGCCATTTTCAAGTACTGATAGAAGATATTCTGCGGTTATGGATTCTACCAGATACAAGGAATTGATGGATTTTCTTATCAAAGGAGAATTTCCTGAAAATTCGGACAAACACCAGCGCTACATCATAAGACGAAGACCCTCGAACTACCGCGTGGAAGGCAAGTTTATTAACTATCATAAAGCATTATTACCCTAATTAAATATATTATTTTTTAAATATAAAACATCCCCTTTCAATGAATGCTGTCCTTTTTTCTAGATGACAACCTGCATTATATCAGACACAAAGGCTTTGACAAAGAAGTCAGAGTCAAAGTAGTGTGTGGGGCAGCCGAGGCAGACACCATTTTTGCAGAATTTCATGCAAGTGGCACTGGCGCACACTGCGGCCAAATTAAAACCAGGGATGCCATATCTCTGAGATATTATTGGCCTTCAATGACGTCTGACATCGACAAATGGGTATGTTGGTTTTCAATACTTCTATGCCTACATGTTAGGCCTATTTGGCAATAAAGAAGCGTGAATTATTGCTGCCACACCAGAAAAAAAGTCATGAAATGACTGATTTGAATTGACTTTAAAATGAAAAGTCAATAGACTCTTAAATCTTGACGTTCGATTAATTGCACAAATAAATTGGTGTTGCAACATGTTTTAGCAGCCACCTACTGGATTCCAGAGTGACATGTCATCATTTGCCATAATGTACTGAACTACCATAAAAATCACAATTTACAACCCCACATTCCTTATTATCCAATAATTAAATAATATACTTTATACATTGCAATAGGAAACTGATCAATTTTCCTTTTTAGCCGTGGCAGCAAAACAATAACATAATTTTGCACTCTAAAGTTTTGTATCAAATCAATATGTGATCATACACAGGTATCAGAATGCACTGTGTGTCAGCAGAACAGAGCTGAGATCAAGGCTAGCACAGACTACAAGCCTATCAAGGTAAATATTTCCTTTTATGTTTTAATTTAATATCATTTTATGAGTCTGTGGTTGTATTTTAGTATTGTCCATCATATATTATTATTATATGGTAGTATAATACATGCATTATGCATGTTTCTTATTTTCAATTTTACAATTCCTCTATGCTTGTATACATTCTATATTTCTCTAGAATGTGAGCTATTGTAACATGAAACAATATCTGTTTTCCCCTAATATGTTTTTTTTAATCTTTGTTTTTCAATAGACCAGACGTCCATTTGAACTTGTCGGTATGGACCTCATCGGCAAGCTTGTAGAAACAGACCAGGGGAACCAATATATCTGTGTAATTATTGACTACTGCACGAGATGGGCACAGGCCTATGCCATCAAATCCAAAACAGCTGCAGAGGCCACAAAATGCATCCTAAAATTTGTGTACCAGTTTGAGGTTCCACAGAGAATTTTGACAGACCAAGGGAAAGAATTTGTCAACCATTTTTTACAGATCAACACAGAGGTATGCCAGCTTTTGGGGATCAATAGAAGTCTCTGCGCTCCATATCATCCTCAAACAAATGGTTTAGTGGAGAGGCTCAATGGAACCATACAGAGGTTAAAATAGATTGAATTCAACTTGTAGCTTAATTCTGATTTTGGTGTTTAGTTTGACTTGTCTGTTATGGTAAAGTTAGACCCATAGTCTAAGTGTGAAACAAAAATGTTCCATGCTTTTTTTTTTTATCTTTTTAAATGGTTTTAACTTTCAAATGAGATGCATTTTTAACTGTTGATGCTACAGGGGACTGTTGAGACTATAACCTGAGTTTTTAAATAAATGTTTTTACAATTATAAACAAAACTCTCTTCGTTTATTATTATTTATCGTTAATTTCCAGTATCGTACGGTGTTGCTGCTGGCAACATCAACAAAAAATTACAAAAAAATTAATATTTTTTGAAAATGTCTTTTATTTATATATATATATATATATATATATACAGAGCTCTGGAAAAAAAATAAATAAGAGACCACTGTAAAATGATCTTTTCCTCTGGTTTTACTATTTATAGGGATGTGTTTGAGTGAAATAAACATTTGTTTTATTTTATGCAACATTTCTCCCAAATTCCAAATAAAATATTGTCACTTAGGACATTTATTGGCAGAAAATCACAACTGATCAAGATAAGAAAAATGATGCAGTGTTTTCAGACCTCATAAATGCAAAGAAAACAAGTTCATATTCACTTTTAAACAACACAATACTAATGTTCTAACTTAGGAAGAGTTCAGAAATCAATATTTGGTGGAATAACCCTTATTTTTAATCACAGCTTTCATGCGTTTTGGCATGCTTTCCACCAGTCTTTCACATTGTTGTTGGGTGACTTTATGCCACTGCTGGTGCAAAAATTCAAGCAGCTCAGCTTTGTTGGATGGCTTGTGACCATCTTCATCTTGATAACATTCCAGAGGTTTTCAATGGGGTTCAGGTCTGGAGACTGGGCTGGCCATGACAGGGTGTTGATCTGGAAGCAGCCTGATGCTCACTGTATCCCTCTGCCAGTAAAGCCAGAATTGAACCCTTCTTTCCTCACTCAAAAACTGTCTTTTCAAATCTTTTGGCATGATCAATAGTTATTTTGAGATGCCAATTACTTTAGAGGTACTACTTGCAATGTTTTTGCCAGCAAGTCCTATTGCAAGAGGATAATGATGACCAGCAGTGTTTTTTTAAATATAATTTTCCTCATTAAATAAGATTTGGTTCAGGTGATCACCTAATCAGTACCTCATTAAGTAGAATGAGGTGTGCCTGTGTTGAAATTCAACACAAACACTGGAATACAATGGCTGCCACACATGTAGAGATGCTGATTTAGGGGAAATTTGGAGTGGTCTCTTATTTTTTTCCAGAGCTGTATATACACAGTATATATAATTTTTAAAATTTCATCAACAAAATACTGTGTTCACCCTTTGAATAGTTGAATAGTTAAAAGATAACTTGCCATTTAAACATATGAACTGTAAGGAAGTCTAACATCCTCCTGCTTTTCACTTTTTGTTGTCACAGGTTGATGGATCCTTTGAGGATCTTTTTTTAGAGGAAGAGGTGGCCATTGACATCCAGCGTCATGAACAAATATTGAGCATTGTCCAGGGAAACCAGGAGAAAGTTCACCAGAAAATAAAGGCGAAACTGGATGCATAAAAACCCGGTCAAAACATATAAGTGGGGGACATGGTGTGGAGAAGGAATGTCAGAAGCCAGCAACGGAAAGGGAGAAAGCTGGACCCAGAGTTCCTTGGACCTTATACCGTCACAAAGGTGGAAGGGAAAAGTGTTGACCTTGTTGACATGAATGGGAAATCTGTCTGCAAGGTCAACATTGATCACCTTAAAAGATACCATGAGGAGACCCCCAGAATTCCTGGAAATTTGAGAGGATGTCCACCATCAACACCTGCCACCTCAACAACTACCTCACCACCAGCTACCACAACACCTGTCATCACACCTGCCACCTCAACAACTACCTCACCACCAGCTACCACAACACCTGTCGTCACCCCTGCCACCTCAACAACTACCTCACCACCAGCTACCACAACACCTGTCGTCACCACTGCCACCTCAACAACTACCTCACCACCAGCTACCACAACACCTGTCGTCACCACTGCCACCTCAACAACTACCTCACCACCAGCTACCACAACACCTGTCGTCACCACTGCCACCTCAACAACTACCTCACCACCAGCTACCACAACACCTGTCGTCACCACTGCCACCTCAACAACTACCTCACCACCAGCTACCACAACACCTGTCGTCACCACTGCCACCTCAACAACTACCTCACCACCAGCTACCACAACACCTGTCGTCACCACTGCCACCTCAACAACTACCTCACCACCAGCTACCACAACACCCGTCGTCACCACTGCCACCTCAACAACTACCTCACCACCAGCTACCACAACACCTGTCGTCACCACTGCCACCTCAACAACTACCTCACCACCAGCTACCACAACACCTGCCGTCACACCTGCCACCTCAACAACTACCTCACCACCAGCTACCACAACACCTGCCGTCACACCTGCCATCTCAACAACTACCTCACCACCAGCTACCACAACATCTGCTGCAAAAACACCTGCCTCAAGCTCTACCCAACCTCCTGGCACCTCTTGCAATGCAGAAAAATGTAAAACACACATTAATATATCTGTTCAATCAATTGCTAAGGCTCATAATGATAAAAAAAAACATTCAACCAATTTTTAACTATTAATATGGAGGTTTTAATCAACATTATTTAAGGTAATTTTCTTTAATATTTTTATAGTATGTTTTAAGAATGTATTTAGGGTTTTGATTTAATTACAGAAAGTGATAGATAATTTGGTCATACAGTTCAAGGTGATGAAAAAATTAAAATTTGGACTTACTGAAAACTTTTCATTCATTTTCAGGTGTACAAGTACCCCCCAAAAAACTACTTAATTACAGTAACTTGAGTATTTGTAATGTGTTACTTTCACCCCTGGTTTCAGATCCAGTGTGACCACTGCCAACGATGGTACCACAGTAACTGTGCTGGCAAACCGGATGGGGAGGAATTGTACAGCTGTGGTGCTTGCAGAGATCCATAGTAGTATATAGTAGTACCTTGAATGTCTCTGATTTGTTGATTTATTGTAAATAGTTCCTTGGATGTTTGGGATTTTATTTGTTTTTGTTTGAGTTTTATAACTTCCTTTAAAACATTAAAATGTGTTTATATTTGACATTTTAGTTGGGGGAATTTCTTGTATATTTGATTCTCATTATTATGCAGGTACAGTGAGGTCACATATTCTGATGGCTGTACAGCCATCAGAATATGTGACCTCTGTTTCTATCTCTGTGATGATCCCAAATACAAATATGTGTCCACATTAATGTGAGAGGATGACAGAAGGATTGAAAACAGTTATTTTGAGGTTTAAACTCATTATCATGCAGATTCAGTGAGGTCACATATTCTGATGGCTGTGCATCTAGCTCTTTACAGTTGAACTTTGAAATGAAAATACATCTGTCCAAATATTGAGGCAATAACAGAGCACCTGTGTCAATGTTTACTCATTTATTAAACAGTGCATACATTATCACACAAAATGTTGTTATAATAAAAGTAATTTACAACATCTACCTTAAGGCTATCTACTTTCCATTGCCAGATAATGTGTTACTATGTCTGGGATGGTTGTTATGGTCACGAGCGGTTTCTTAACAAACAGCAGTTACTCGTGGATCACAGACAGTGACGGCAATCAAACTTTTGGAAGAAATTATCCATAGAATCATAGACGGTGCAGAGTATCTGGAAGTTTATGCCAATGGATCAATGCGTACGCCATTAACGTAAATACTCTTCTTCTCTAATGTCGATGGCCACACACACGCAGACAATGTGCAACATCGCCCCCTGCGGTCACAGATTCCGACGGTCACAGATTTCGGTGCAACACCGGAATTGTCCCAGACACATCATCCAGTAGCAAACCATTGGTTTTGAGCCCTGAGAGCATATTAATAATTTATTAACCTTTATACGACACTGTTCCCACTTTAGATCCGGTAGCTGCAAAGGATCATTATTAACTATTAATAACACCTTATTAATTTAATCTGATAGGGTCTTATAGTGTCTTATAAACCAGTAATAAATGTGGTTAGTATTCTATAATTAACCCGTATAAATCATAATTAATGTAAATAGACATCTTATTAATGTTTAGGATAGCTTTATAAACTATCAAGTTTCTATTAAGTGCTTATAATGCTCCTATTTGCAATAATAACTGTGTTAATTATACTATAATTAACACTTATATAGTCTTATTAATGGTACTAAAAATCTTATTCTGTCTTATAAGTGCTCATTAACTGTTAATTTAATGCTTATTAGGCATTAATTAACGCTTATGACAGTACCTTAATATAAAGTGTTACCCAAAGCATATTTATAGTGTGCAGGTGTGGGGCATCGGTGGCTTAGTGGATAGAGCAGGCACCCCATGTACAAGGCTGTTGCCGCAGTGGCCCGAGCTCGATTCCAACCCACGGCCCCTTGCTGCATGTCATTCCCCCTCTCTCTCCCCACTTCACGCTCAGCTTTCCTATCGATTAAAGGCAAAAATGCCCATTAAAAAATATCTTTAAAAAAATATATATATAGTGTGCTAGTGAACGATAATATAAAAACTGTAAACCTTTTCTGCGAAAAAGCTCAATGGCTAAAAAAATAATCGTACCCAAGTTTGTTTCCATCTCACACTTGACTTAAGTCATTTGTTTGCTTTTGTGTTTCTTTTCTCATGCACTGAGTTGTACTGCCAATCAGAGTGACATCATTCATCGATAGCTCCAATGGGCCTCCTTATCCGCTGTGAGGGTCCAAAGGACAGGGGGATGTTGTATGCTGTAAAGCCCTGTGAGGCAAATTGTGATTTGTGATATTGGGCTTTATAAATAAAATTGATTGATTAAATTGATTGATGTCAATTCAACAGGATAAATTGGCCAAACGCAGGCAACAAGGGCTGACAAGTGTCAAGCATGCAGGACAAACTGCAACAACTGGGGCCAGAGACACTCACCAACAGCCTGACATTGACCAAGGGCTGACCATCAGCTTGCTGCATACAGCATATATCCTGTTGACACTTTAGGACTAATGTTACCATCTGCTCGTTAAAAAAAAAATGACTGTTGTGTTTTAGGACTAACATGAAGTCAAATGAACACCCATTTCTTGATCACAGGAACAAATTTAAAACTGGCTGCACTGTTTGGCTGACACATAATCTCAAGGAAGTAGAAGAAATGACCGTGTAGCACCAGTGACGTCAGAAAATAGACAAGTCTCCCACTTTATTCATCACACAAGTAGTAATTGTACAGCAGTCAAATTTATAAAACATATGCAGAGATTATCAAATAACCCAACAACCCAATCAGTTTACAGATCCTGTAACATATCTCATATCTAGGATGATAGTTTCATTAATAATGGTTGAACATTTGAATAATGAGACCAGATATTCAGTAAAAGTTTCACCAGGTGAATGGAAAATCCCTGTCTGGTACTGAAAGCTAAATGTCTCTGTCATTGCCTGAAACAACCTTTTCTCTGCTGTCTGAGCTGCATCGTCACTGCAGCGCATCTTCAGTTGATATTTGCATCAGAGGCAAATCAGTCAACCTCGATTAGTGAGAGAGATGATGTGTCCACCAGCAGAGCTGTAGCTATTGCGTATAACACATGAGCCATATGTGTTGTAGTAACAGTAGCAATACAGGGTTGGTTAGTGTAATTCTGTACGAATAGAGACAATTTCCCTGTCGTTCACTTATCTCACACCGTATTTATCAAATTCTTATATAGGCTGATCAAACGTCCTCTTTTGCCCGCACATGTCCACTTTTCACGTCCCGTCCGAGGCGTCCGGGGGGTTTTTATAAACTGATGATAATGTCCGGTTTTCCGTGTGTTTGTGTGTGTGTGTGTGTTAGAGTGCGGCACGGGCCGCATATTTCTGTCCGAACCCGAACCGAGCCCGACATTATTTAATGACGAAAGCACTGAGTTTGTGTCACACAGTTGTTACGGTTACAGGCCGGGCGTGCTCAGCAGAGAGGGAGACCTCCGTGTTTGAGACGGGAGCAGGAGACGGGAGGTCCGACGCTTCTAGCGAGAGGAGAGGGAGAAATAAAACAAAATAAGATAAAATAGGAAAAACCTGTCTCCCTCTTTATTTTATTTTCATCGTTTAATCAAGGCGGAGGCGGGCAGCTGGAGGTCCGAGACTTCCAGCGAGGGAGAGGTAGAAACAAACAGCCAGTGTCTGTCTGTGTGTGTTATGTTCAGGTGTTGTCATGTAAATAACAGTGCCCAAGCAATAAACAGGACAGACAATAGGATTTTATTTATTTTTACACTACATTGTCACTGAAAGCTGACCGAATCCGACCCGAGCCCGAATACAATTTAAAGCTACATTTTTGACCAAACCCGGCCCGACCCGTCGGGTACCGTCGGGCTCGGATCGCCACACTCTAGTGTGTGTATGTGTCCCCTATCTATAGGGGCCTATCTGAATTTCTGTCTTTGAGAGATATTATTTTGTAATATAACTGAATTTTCTATCCATACATATAAATTTTAAATATATTAAAATGATAAGGCATCTTTGAGTAAGCTGCGAGTATCATTTAAGTAGACTATGTCGTGGCCGGCCGAAAGTCCTCTTTTTTGGAAATCAAAATATGGTCACCCTATCTTATAAGAATAATTTTTAGAAGTAGGAGGTCACAAAAGTGGGCTAATAAAAGTATAAATAGTATATTTAATACACTTTTTATTCCTTTACGCACAGTACAGAAAGAGTCTCAGTATACATCATTGTTGCTGAAATTCAGTTTAGAAACTGAATCCACTCCTGTGCTCCCAAGACCTCACTTGTATTTCCCTATGCAAATAACTTTTGACTGAGCGGATCATGCAGTACCTGCTGCAGGAGACAGGGCTGCTCTGTCATGCTCAGATCACTTCCTGACCTCTTTTGTTCAAATCAAACTAAGATGCAAAACTGGCTCTAGCAGCAGACATGACTAACACAACACGTTTTGTCCACTACAGTCTGCACAGAGACAACCAACAGTGACACTGAACTGTAAGGTCAGGGAAATGTATTTCCAAATTAACAGCATTAGGATTTTTTAGTGAAAGCATTTTATTGAGAGTGGTGTCAGTTTGCACATATCTTAAGTAGGCTAAATGTATACAAATAAAGAAATTATTGGTAAATATGGAATTGCAAAATAGAGATAATTAGTGCATTTACAAAACTGATACAAACACTGTTCTCTTTTAGAATATATGAAAAAGAGAAAAAGAAAAAGATAAGCTCCCAATCCACCCAACCTAGACATCCAAAAGAAAATCGAAGGATCCTGTATTTAATTGGTGACATGAATCTACAAATGGCATTACACTGATATCTTCAGATATTAATACAATGTTTCCAGATGGCATCAAAGAAGTTCACCTGCACATTTCTAATACATCTGCCACATATTCACATTAGGGATATTTTCACCCTTCCACAAAATCAGCAAGCATTTCTTAGCTGGCATAAGGAAATAGTTGATAAGTCATCTTTAAGCTGATGTGAGGTTGTTAAAAGCCACCTTTCACTGCTGGGTGGCCTCAGTTTGTGATGCTGCCAAACCGTAACCTTTTGCAGTGATATGATATGCTGTCGGTCAGCCGGACGACACCTGACATAACAGTATGATATACTAACGGGCATTGTCAGTTCATAATGTGGCCGGAAGGCACCTGTCGCAGCAGTATGAGATGTTACTGAAAGGTGTCAGGTTTAAGAACTACCGGCAATGACACAATATCAGGAGCTGGAAAGTCCATAAAGGGTGGATGGGAAGGGTGGTGGATGGTGGATGGTGGGTGTTGGGGTCCCACATACCTGGACTTTTACCACTTGTTGACATCCTGGCATTGGTTGTGGTGTCAATAGCAGATGCAGGAGGTTACCTAGCGCAAAATATGCAGGGCCACTGACATAGTGCTGATATGTGACGAATTGGGATTAGAATGTGGTCTGTCTCTCTTCCCACTGAGTATTGCAAATCTACTTGCAACATCTGAATGTAAATAGCCTGAACTAAATGTGGCCTGAACAACCTAAACACTATACTTGTCAGGATCCACTGGGTTTGGTCTGGTTGCAGAACTCTAGAGACTCATCCATTATTGATTGATTTGAGCGGGCAGCTTTGTGTCAGTGGTCAGACTAACCTTCATGCATGCACGACTACTTGACATTTTGTCTGGGTAATGTCCTGGCCAGGTCATGATTAGAATGGGAAAAAGTTCTGTGTTTTTGTTAAAATGCTCGGGGGGGTTTGATAGTTCTATGCAGAACTGTGAAGGTGCTACAGTAACCCTGACTTGCTCCCCTGTACTACTGCCAATAGCTAGAGCAGACACAAAACACAGTCTGACTACCAATGTGGTTCAGCTTTGGTGAGGTGAAGTGCACTGTCGTCCACTGTAAAATTAATGGCTT